CCGTCCTCTGCTGCTGCTGCCGCTGCTGGGTCGTCGCCGTCGTCGTCGATATCGCCGCCGCTCCCGGAATGGTCGTCCTCACCCATCGAGGCTGAACAGTCCCCGCCAAGAAGAGCGCCGCAACCACGCCAAACCAGGCTGACCAGACCGCCGCCGACCGCACCGGGGTACGCCACGCCCCTGACGCCCCATGCTTCGAGACAGCTGGGCGAGAAGGGAGACCTTCGGGTCCGAGGACGCACGAGGGGAGATGCGCGCGCCATGTCACAGCAGCAGCTCTCTACTCTTTCGGAGGACCGGCAGTTCCCATCTCTGCCGAACGAGGCCGTCAGTACTCCTCTCCCTCCTTCCGAGATCACCATGGGGTTGCTGGCTCAGGCGAACGAAGATGTCCTCCTCTCCATGCTGGATGCTCGGCGAGTCATGAACGGGAAGACGATGCTCCGGCCAGGATTGGAGGGGGATGATGAGCAGGGGGGGCGGAGGGGAGCAGCGAGCTCGGAGTGGGGACGCGGGAGGAAGCAAGGGCATCCTGCCTAAGGGGGACACGGGCGAGAAGGGACGCGTGGGGTATGGATGGTCGATCGGTCCCTCTGAGCGGGGCGTTCCGCTCGGGCTCATGGCGCGTCTTGCGACGCGCGACGACCTCGATTCGGCTATCTCTGAGATGGAGCCACCCCTTCTGCGTCCCGACATGCCGCGCTGCCACGCCAAGGACCTCAGGGTTCCCCAGACATTCAAGGAGGCGAAGGAGAGCGTGCACAGCACCCAGTTCATGGACGCAACGAAGAGAGAGGTGTTTGGGTTGCTAGAAGCAGATGCATTCAAGGTTGTTGGACCCTAGCAACCAATCGGTAATTGTATCAAGTCGAAGTTTGTGTTTGATTGGAAGGTAGATGCGTTCGGCTTTCCTACGAAGGCCAAAACCAGACTTGTTGCAAGAGGAGATATGCAGAAGGAGTACATTGACTTTGGTGATTTGTATGCTCCCACAGTAGCTTCGTCTAGTGTTCGTATGTTGGCAGCTTTGGCGTGTGAGCTTGACTTGGAGTTGTGTCATTTCGATATCGATCAGGCGTTTGTGAGGGCCCCTCTCAAGGAAGACATTTTCATGCGATTGCCGGAAGGATGTGGTGCGTTGTCGGGGAAGATTGTGCAGTTGAACAAGAGCCTTTACGGTTTGAGGCAGGCATCTAGGGAGTGGTACGCGTTGCTGAAGAAGTGTCTTTTGGCTTTGGGTTTCGAGCAGTGCATGGCCGATTCATGTGTTTTTCGCTTAGTCGAAGGGGGGGAAGTAGTGTTGATTCTAGTAGTACACGTAGATGATATTTTTGCAGTGGGGACGAAGGAGAGGTGTGATCAATTTGGGAAGGACCTGGGCGATTACGTACCGGTGAAGTCTCTGGGGGAGTTGCAGTGGTACTCTGGTTGCTATTACGAGAGGGACAGAGAGGCAGGTAGATTGACGATTTCGCAGGAGACATACACCAAGGAGTTGGGAGAGAGATATGGTGTGGAGTGGGGCGGAAGCATTCCTTTGCCCACGACTTGGAGACTTTGGGACTTTGATGTGAATGAGCCGAGCGTAGAGCACCCATTTCGCGCGCTGATTGGTTCGTTGCTATGGATAGCTTTGTTGACTAGGCCGGATATCGCGAATGCGGTGAGGGCAGTAGCGAGGTACTGTAGTGCACCCAAGTTGATCCACTGGAAGGCTGCACTTGGCATCTTAGGATATGCAGTTAGGACTAGTTCTTTCGGGATTTCTTTTCAGAAGGGGACAATTTCAGGGTTTTCTTTGATCACGTTCGTCGACGCGGATTACGCCTCGCGTGCGGCGGATCGTAGGTCGGTTTCAGGGGGAGTAGTAATGTGTGCGGGGGGAGCGATAGCATGGTTTTCCAAGACTCAGAAGTGTGTGACTTTGTCCACCACGCAGGCAGAGTACGTGGCGATGGCGGACATGGGGAAGGAGATTCTTTTTTTGAGGCAGGTTTGGCGCTTTATGTTGCCGAAGGAGTTGCGGCCGTGCATTCCACTGTACGAGGATAACGAGGGTGCTCTCCAGATCGCAAAACACCCGATCTCGAATTCCAACTCGAAGCACATCGACGTGCGGCATCACTTCCTCAGACAACTGGTAGATGAGAAGGAGGTAGAGATCATTCATGTAGCGTCGCAGTACCAGCATGCTGACTTCCTCACGAAGGCGCTACCTGAGAGGGATTTTGTGTTCCACAGGGACTACGTGATGAACTTAAATTGAGCAGTCCCGGAGTTTTTTGTGTTGTGTTTTTGTTTGTGTGATTCTTTCGATTTGAGTATATGAGGAGTTGATTTTCTACGAGTTTGAATTCAAGAATGGCCGATTGACATTATATTTGGTATTTCTGTTTTAATGGTTGGTTGGGAATACTTTCTATCCGATTGAAATTCTAAATGAATGAGCAGATCCTGGAGTCTTTATTTTTGTTTTGTTTTTTTGCGTTTGTGCGATTCTATTGAATTGCTATTTCTGAGGATTTTCTACGATGTTGAATTCCAGGGTGACCGATGGATAATCTCTGCAGTGTTTCTGGTTTAATGGTTAGGAGAAGAGTTTCAAACCGGTTGGAGTTCTAACGAGTTTTGTTTCGGGTTTAATGGTCATGGTGTTTTGGCGAAGACGAAGCATGAGATGGATGGAATGTTAATCACTAAGCCTTGCGTTCAGGTATTTGGTATAAGAGGGTATGCATGTGTAAGGTAGTTAAATGAGTCCGGGTGTAATCTTGCCAATGCAGCGAGTAGGGGGGCTGTTGGATGTACTCACAGCATCAACAGATTATTGCGAGCAAGAATTTCCCGAGCAGATGGAGCGGGGAGTTTGGGGGTTCAATGGTTGCTATGGATTAGATTTGGTGGTACCAACTTTATCACATATTGCAGGTTTGAGGGTATGGGTGTCTACAACGGAATTTGTGTGCGTGGCTTGTGGTTCCTCACTTCCTTTTTCTGTGTATAATCAAGTCCTTTTTCCGGCTCTCACGCCAACCCCGGCTTCCACGCCCATACTCCGGCTATCACGCCAACCCGGCTTCCACGCCTTCAGGACTCCCACGTCCCTAAATATACCTTTACATCAGGGCCACCACGCCACCCGGCTTCCACGCCACAACTATATTATACACGAGCTTCCACGCTCCACCACGTAGAAGGGCTTTCACGCCCGCGGATAGTTTCTACATTTTGACCGTTGGCAGTACCCAGCTGCTGGCACCTTTTGTTTCCCACTACGGGACCCCGCGCCGAGGCACCCACGCACAAAGCTACTCAACAGCGGTACCATGTTTTTCATCTTCGAGCCTATTGGCCAACTGCTGCCTGGTCGTCACGCTGTACACGTCAACCTCAATATAGAGTGCACCCCCGTTTACTTGTTGTTCCGCCGCGTGCCGCGCCACCGGCCCACCCAGTCTCCCACTCACACTACATCTTCCCATTCCCGGAAACACGCTACCTAGGTAAGACCTCAGGTGGGATTGATGGCCGTGCGCGCAGAAAGCGCGATGAGTTGTATGTATGTAGGAGAGAGAGAGAGAGAGGCAGGCACGCATAGCGTGCTGTCTTGCCGAAGACGGAGAATTGTAAGCATCGATCTGCCGGGCTGAACTGTGCGATCCAAACGAGAGTTCTTCTGAAACGAGTAGTCTATACTGGTGTCTCGTCTTGTGACGCTGCTGCCCCTTCTCCTTCATGCTCGCCAACCGCAGCAGGCACGAGTCAGCTCTCAAGCAACCCCGTCCTGCGTCGAGGTCAGCCAATCAGTATCAGCATGCTTGCTTCGACGATCGCGGGACGTGCCGCCGTGAGGGCTTCGCGCCAAGGCCAGCGGACGGTGGCTGCCAAGCTCACCAGCGGCGCCATCAGCGCAGCGTCCCCTTGCTCCAACGTCCGCTCCCCGCTCCCGGGGGCCTACCGAGAGACCACGGAGTTGTGGCACAACGACAAAGCAGCAGATGCGCCCACGGATGTTGTTGAGGTAAGCGTCCGTATTGAGCGTATTTTTGGAGAAGATTGGTCTGGGGTCTGGGGGTGAGCCAGCTGATGCAGGTACCGGCTCTATTGGTGGTGTGTCACGCAAGTCTGCAAAATTATTGGTGGGCGAACGCATCCGTGCTGCCGATTCGATGGGTATGCTGAGGATCGGTGGTGTCCTCGTGGGGAAGGCTTTGCAGTCTTAAGAGGGCGAGTGGATGTGTAGCTCGTTCTCCCGAGCTTGCGGCGGACATTGGTAAATACGGCAGTCCAGGTTTTGCCGATTTGCCGGTGCAGGATCGCCAAAAATACAAAATACAAAATGGGCTGGTTGGTTCCGCCGCGAAAAAAACGAAGACTTGTCCTTCGATTCGTCTCTCTCTGTAATTGTATCTATGCATATGCACATGCGTTCCGTCTAGTCGCATCACTCTGCTGGGCGCGGCTTTTCTCGGTATGCAGAAATACCTTCTCCTATGTACTCATAGATGTTTTTGTATCAGCAGCCGGGGTCACACAGAAGGACGTACAACGTTGAAAGATTGTTTATTGCGGCGCTTATTTTGTAATGTTGAACGTTTGGTTCGCGAGAGAAGGATTCAGTACAAAGTTGCAGCTCAAGCCCAAGTTGGGAATGTATTACTCTGTCCAGAGATATTCGGACCAGAGTGCCTTCCAGTCTAGATACTTTTTTACCGTGTCAATCCAACAAGATATCCTCGCTTCTTCACGCCCAGCAGCGGGCTCCATTTGAAAAGACATATCATGTTGGTTCTGCATGTTGGGACTACTACATACCCCCGATACCCTCCAGAGGTGCTCGTCCTCCAATCAAATCGCTCGCGATTGGTTTATTTCCTCCTCGTCCAAATGAAGTATTTTTCTTACCCATTTTGCCACCTCTTACTTGCAAACCCAACCAAGCAGTGGGTCTGGGATAACCGACAATTTCGGCCGAACCCCGCCCCCCCCGCCCCAAAGACCGTCAAGAACGAGGCGGAGCTGACGAAACTGCTGGCTTCGGATGGTCTCGTCGTGGTCAAGTTCCACGCCATCCTGTGCGACGCTTCGAGGGCGGTGGAGGGGAGGTTCAGGCAGACCGCGGCTGAGTTTGGCGACATGGACAACAAGCAGGTCACCTTCGCTGACGTGTGCTTCGACAGCAACCGGCAGCTGTGCAAGAGGATGGGCATCAAGTCGGTTCCCCACGTGCAGGTACTGCTGATACTATTTCGAGTTCTTGGCGCTGTTAAAGACAACCCGATCGATCCCTTCCACAAATCGGAACCGTTACCCTTGTAGTTTCATCAGCATTTCAATTAGTTGTCTCTCTGATGTGAGTATTCAATGCTACGGGGCCTTCCGTTTGTGTGGCCCCGGCTTTTCGTTTGCGTGTATGATCTACAAGTAGAACAAACATACCGAGGGGACGGTGACACAATCCGTCCAAATGAGTTGGGATGAGGCCTAGACACACTAGACGACCCGTGTACAGCCGACAGTATGCTGTGATGAGCGGGCTGCCTCGTGTGTTGACAACTTTGAATCCATGAGCCGCCTTTCTGAGATCCTAGAGTCTACAATGTAGTTGCCTTCTTGAGCCAGGAGCCGTGCATCCGTGCTTGCAATGCTGTCAGTGGAAGCGACCGAGCTGCAAAATAATGGCTTCTGATTTCATTACTGTTTACTCAGCAATGTTTAATGTTTTGGAGGACATTTTATACGGCGATTGTTTCGTTTCCTACAAACCGGCCAAAGCTGCAATTTCGATCATCTTGAAGAGAGAGCCCGCACGCGTCTATCTTTTCAGAGCCCTCTCCGTGTCCAGCAAGCGTGTACCGTTCGCTACGAACCCAACCCAAGGCCGTCACGTGTGTTTCCGACTCTGCTTCGAAACCGACGGTTGCCCCTCAAATTCTGGCTAGAGACCCTTAGTCGTGGCAGTTACGAAAACGCGGAGAACGACGAGAATTCACGTACCACATAATTTATGCTTCCATTCCCCATTTGGTGTATACCCCAGCTCCCCGCCCTCAGATCTTGATACCAAGGCCCAAAGTCTGCAGGTCCCCCATGTCGCATGCTCGTTTCCCAATGCAGGCGTCTGCGTCGCGGGGCGATTCCATTCCCATCTTTAGGAAAGATCCCAATATCTCCATCTTTGCGAAAGATCCCAATATCTCGGAGTCAATTGTGTCGGTTGTTACAGTACTTCCACAGTAGTGCAAGACGTCTTCTCTCTTCCAGCCAGGTTGCTCTCCGAGCTAGCTGTTCGGGGAAGTTGTCCGTGCCGTACAGCCCACAGCGGGGTCCCGCGAATATACTTGACCCGTCCGCCAAAAAAACAATAACTGGTGGCCTCGATGTTGCCATGGCCGTTCGCTTACCCGCCCACTTTCTTGTCACTCTCCCGCTCTCCGCTCTGCACCCCCCCAGATCTTTTCTGGCTCCAAGGGTAAGATTGCGGACTTCAGCATAGCGCCGCTGCAGTACAACACCTTGACCTCCCTGCTCAGCGAGCGGCGGGATTCGGTGGCTGCCGGGGGACAGCTGTAGCATTCTGGGAAAATTCCTGGAAAGCTTCCATCGATGCCGTGGTGGTGGCTGTGGCTGCTCCGCGGCAGTGAACAGCCAACCAGCTTCTCGTAGACTTGTAACCTCTCTATTAATTTTTTTGTTTCGTTACGTCATGTGATGTGATCGTATGGCACTCGACATGTTGCGTCGGGGATACGTGGAATTTTTTTTGGAAGTTTCGACGGCAAGCAAGCTACTATGGCAAGTCGACCGAAAGAGTGCTCTGCGGTTGGTGGGCCACTTGCCAGCAAAGTTGGTAAATGGGTGTTGGAGGGTAAGGAAAGGGACGGGTCGGGGATAGAGGCCCCGATGGGGAAACGAGACGATCGATGTGGAGTTTTCCGGGCATGACAGCCGGACAACTGCGGCAAGAGCCGTTACCCGAAACGAAACAGCATTCGAGGAATCGTCTGGCGTTTGTGGTGGGGTGACACGTGAGTCTACCGTGATTACATTTTAAGATGGTGTGCATGCGTGAGGGGTTTTTTGGCCAAGGGGTTTTTCTTTTTTGGGGGTTTTTCGGGGGGGGGGGGGGGGGGGGGCGTTGACCCTGCTGGATAGATGGGATACTTGATGCCAGCCACAGAAAAAAGCGGAAGTGCCTGCTACTGTAGTGGTACGGCGTCAGTAGTAATCTGAATTCGATACGGTTGGAAACGGGATACAAGCCATCCCGTCGGTGTGCGTCGGAGTTGAGCGAGGGTAGTGCCGTGAATGTTGCTGTTGGCTGTTTTAGGGTTTTAGTTTTAGGGTAGACGTTATTATGCAGTGCTCGGTGCCGCTCCCCCCCGCAAGGAAAAGATAGGCGTGTGTCGTCACCGCATGATGTCCTCTGGCCGGGGATAGGGCACGCCTCTTCGTCGGCGTACGTACGTGAGATGATGACCGCTTTCCTTGGTCTCGAAAGCACGCGTACCGAAGAGCTTGTTTTGTTTTTGTCGTTTCTTTCGTTGTGGTGCGGTGCTGTGTGTGGGGGGAGGTGGGGTGTGGGGTGCTGTATTTTCTCACGGCTGTGAGCTATGCAGTTCTTTTTGAGCTATGTTCTTGTGGTGTCGTGTGTTTTGTACCTCCGCTAGACCAAGTGTCATCGTGGAGAAAAGGGGATTTTGGATTCAGTCGATACACCAAGGCGGTGAACATAAATGGGTCAGAAAATTAAAGACGATGTGTCGTCGACCATAACGTTACTGGGGATAATTTCAGGGTTCAGAGGCAGCCACGCGAAACGTTTCGCAGGGTTGTCGAACGCGGCGTATCCTTCGTCGATGATCATCACACGAGTCTGTCGGTATTCGCTTGCCGCGTTCTGCGTGACGAAAACCGTCACCGTCCCGCATCATGAATCATGAATCATGAATCATGAATCATGAATTGAGAAAAACATCTTGAAAATGACAACTACAGCAGTAGCACGGCTGCCTGAGGCAAAAGCTGCGTTGCCAATACTCCCCGCAGTCGGCCGTGTGGGCCAGTCATTGGAACTTTCGAGGCACAAGTGTAGAGTAATATTTACAAAGCGGTCCCGGGCAAGCGGCGCCTACTGTGCTACTGCTGCCGTCAGGGCCGTACCGTTCACACGCACTGCAACATCCTCGCACTCCTCACCTCGTGTCTGTCTGTCTGCCATGGGCTACAAGAGGAAGATCACCTCTCTCTTCTCTCTCACTCTCTCACTAGACCGGGAACCCTCGCCACCGCACCAAAAGGCAACGCACTCTCGTGTGTCCCGCCGCCCTCGTAGCTCAGGAGCTCCCGATGCTTCGTCGTCTGCTAACTACCCCGACGCTGCTCAATGCATGACAGCGCGCGTGTGCATCCCGAAAATGCAACACAATTCGTACAAAAAAAAAAAAAAACGGGCACCATGCGTGAGCTATAGTGGGCATCCTGAAAACGCTACAATACAGAGTGTGGATGCGCACAATGCACCGGCGCGTGCTTCTATCGATCGTATGCATAGTCTACACATCCCTCGTCTTGGTGGTGGACCCGTCATCATATGTAGTCCACTTGGTACCCCTTCAGGTTGTTGTGGAACATCACGCTCGCCCAGAGACCGCACAGCACGAACACCACGCTCATGACCGACGTCAGCAGCCCGAGCTTCACGAAAACAATCGCCACTTGGGCGAGCTCTTTCCTGGCGAGAGAGGAGTACAGTATCGCATCAGCGAACAAAAAACAAAAAAAAAGGTAACGGCCGTCGAAGATAAGACGCCAAGAGGGGAAGCAAACGAGAGAGGCTGGGTCGAGAAGGAGACGATGCAAAGCTCACTCCGTGACGCGCAAGCAAAGGAGGTTGAGGATCACCAATATCAGAACAGAAAAGAACAGGGACGGACCATCCATACTGTATTGACGTCCTCATCGTTCCCATTCCGATCACACTCACATGTACTTCAACGGAAACACGAGGGACCAGGAGGGAAAAACAGTGGGCAGATTTCGCGTTCTGCTTTACCAGCCCTATTGTGAAAATATTTCGATACTTGGTCAGGACGTCGCCTCTAGGCCACGGCTTTCTCCGCAATACCGCATCCATCAACGCATGACATCAAAAAAACGCGCCGCGGCAGCTGGTGCCGCCATGCTACCTATCGCAATGGCGCGCTGCAAGCGATAATGTTTCCGCAGAATATAAGGCATCGTCACAGAAGCAGAAAAGAGTTCATGTAGCGGGAGGCTTCCACTCACGGGTCAGACCACTCCGGGCAGCCGGGTACAGTGTACAGGCTGAAATCGAGCTCCGGTGTATATCGACAGCAGCAGCAACCGTGTACGCCCACCTGCGACACATCACAGCAGCGAGGACCGCGGTTGATTGTTGAGGACTTTGGTTGCTTGTACGAGGACAATGTTAAATTAGACGGGTTCGATCAAACGTGCGTGGGGTACGAATAAAACGGTCTTGAGGTTGAAGTTGGGCGTTTATCCCTCCAAGTTTGAGAATTGTTCCGAATTGGGGGACATGGCGAAGGCGTTTCGAAGGCAATACAAGACGGAAAATGTCCATCAAAATTGGAAAAACTTCGTCAAAGTTGGAAGAGACCGTTCCGCATGTCTTGCTTGGTATTTTCCAAATATTGCTACGACTGCCCAGACGTTTGTGAACCAAACATTTGGAACAAACATAAACATCTGTGGGTAACGGGCCTGAGTACGACGCAGACGTTCTGTGGACCAGTAATGCCATGCTACTACCTGAGGTTCATTGTAGCCTCGATAAGGGGGGGGGTGGACCAGAGTGTGCGCAAGTAAAGGGGAAGCTTTGATTTGTAACGAAAGATACGCTGCACAGCCAGGAAACTATAACGCAGTTGGACCGTAATAGATCATACAGCGGGTGTGATAGACAAGACAGACAATTGGAATCACAATTTTCGACCCCTGTCCGGCAATAGATATACATCACGCGAACAGAACATCACAACGCCTTCAGCTCTCCTCCAAAACGAAAAATAATCCTCGTCGAGCGGCGACACCACGGCGATGAAACCGACCCCCACGAATCACAACACAACCCTTACACACCTTACACATCTCGATCTCGGTTATCCTCACGGCAACGCCGGCCAGCCTAGCACAGAGCCAAAATAGCCCATGAACCTCTCTTGAAGTTGAACCTGCCCCCACAAACTCCCTCCCTACCGTACCAGGTAAAAAACTCTGCGGGGAAATGTCCCGACGGAGCCTGAGGCCTCGTACTCCACGTAAAGAGCTCAGCAACACACAAACCTCCCCTTAAATCTAAATCGCTCCCAGAGCCCCCCATCCCGGCGACAGGAAGAAAAAGCCCCCGCAACGATAGTTCCTCACAAGAAGAAAAAAAAAAAAACGCGTGGGGCACAGCAAGCAGGGCGCCAGGATGGCCGAGCGAACCCCTCTCAGGTCAGCTCACCTCACACGCTATCCTCACCAGCCCTTCCGGGTCGTCGGGGTCGAAGCCGTCCGCGAGCCTCGCCCACGAGACTAGTCCCAAGGTAATGAGGACCAGGTAGAGCATCAGGACGGCGCCGAGACCTGCCATGTACACCTGGGTGAGACAGACGGGGACAATGTCAACACAAGACCAACCACACCGAGAGGGAACGATTTGACACCAGAGTATCAGGGTTATGAATGTATGTACCCCTCCCGCCTGCTGAAAATTCACGCAAGGGAGAGCGAGAAAGGCAGAGAGTAAACCAACCACGCAACACGAACCAAAGCATGCAACAGGGCCGAAAGACGGTTACAGTTCTGACGCTTCGAATCCGGCTACAGAGCGAGAGAGAGTTTTTTAGGGCAGCAAAGCAAAAACATCACCAGCGACCACCCCCACTACAACAACAACAACAACAACAACAACGTGCACCAATCACTACCGCAGACGGCCGTAGACATGACAGGCGGGTCACCGCACCTGCAGCAAGAGGTGATGACGCAAGTGCCCCGCCAGCACCCCCATCACCGCTACTACCAGCAGCAGGGCCCCCACAACGTAGTGCAGGTCCACCAGACCCAGGACCTCCAGCATCGGACGATGCAAAGACTGCGCACACGGAAAATGTAACATCCGGGAGTGGGGTTGAGAGCGACGACGGCGGTACCCAAGCTGGGAAATACTTGCCGTTGATGCCAGTACCGCAATTATGTGACAACGGGGGGGGGCTGTTTACAGCTTGTGTCCGGTATGGTGCCGGTACATTTTCTGGGTACATACTGTACCAACACTACGGAGCCCCTTCCCACGTATTGGCTTTGTGTGATCGTCGAAACTTGCATCGCCCGTAGCACCTACGTGCTTTTGTTCCGACCAAACCAACATACAGCAGACCACACCAACTGACGTACGGTAGGGCTAAGGGTCCAAAAACCTCAAACGCGACACACAAAAACGCGCAAACTTTTCACTCGTCTGTCAAGACCTCATTCAAAAAATCAGGCTCTCGCTCACGTCAAATATGGCGCACGCGTTGCAGCAACTATTATAGACACATCTATCGTCACATGCGACGGCTGAGGGTAGCGCACAAGGGTCGGACGGTCCACCAGCACCAGACAAACCAAAACAGCTTTCAAGGAACAATGGCCCAGAGACGCGATAGGATACGCCGTCATCACCTGCACGTATCCCATGACGATAGCCCCCACCACCGGAAAGACGAGAAGGTAGTTGATCATGCTCTGCATTGATCTGGGCAACCGGGCACAGAACGACCAAGCAGAGTTGTGGTACTGCAGTGAGTAGCCCGGACATCTCGCTTACAAAGAGACTAGCTAGAATGAGGATAAACCTGGGCGGGCAGAGTGGGCGTACCTCTGCGATGTCTTCCCGTCACTGGCAAAATTCACGGCGCCTTTGCGGTGGTGACCAACTGCAGCAGCAAGTACACGTTTCACGGTAACCAACGATGTTCTCACTTTCCTTTCACACAAGGAATTGAGCTAACCCCGATGCCCAAGTGAATTACCGAGTCGAATATCAACATCCCTATTGGTCCATTTATGATACTGGTGTTCATGGTGCTGCCTCTGCTGTTCGTTAAGCGTTAATTCACTCACTCCAGCAAAGAGAAAAATGCGATGTGATACAAAAAATGTTAGAAAAGGGGGAACCCCGAAACGCGGTGTCTGTTCACCGACCCTTTCCGGTGCTTTGATGTGGAAAGGCGAGCTATGCAACCTGGTTGTTGTTGTTTTCTATTTTATAGTCAGCCAGCTATGGCGGGCGGCGCTGCCTAGGTGAAAGGAAACGAACCTGCAGGTCAAAGACAATTCGAAGACTGACCTTTACCTCATAATGCTACCAGACGTGAACGGGTTGAGAAGTTGGTATTATACGGCTGTTGCTGCATCTTTCTAGCCTGTGCCCCCCCGTCGCCTTCCATGCTCTCCAGGGCAAGGGAACAGGTTCATGTATCCATGAATAGAAAAAAATGTGCAAAAGCACAAGCAGGTTTACCCACAGCAGTCTCAGCATTCGAGAAAAACTGCATTCGCATCGCAGGGAGAATGCCGTGTAGACCCGGGTACGTACCAATCAAGCATTCTTAGGCACAGCATGCCTGATTTGACCAGCGCACCCCTACAGGACAAACCCCTAAAGACGCGGGCACGCACGTCTGATGAGCGGACATTTTCACCTCATGATGATGGGAATTGTTACCACTCTCACGGTGAGCACAAGAGAAGCCAGCATCTCCACCACGCTGGATACCGACAGTCCTCCCGCCACGTTCATGAAAAGAGACAGGAAGTCCATGGCCTTGTCTACCGCCTGCAACATGTTCGGGGGTGCGAAAACGTTACCCGAGTTGTTGGAGTCGCCACACAACCAACGGCAAGCGAAAAGATGGCCGTGAGCGTTCGTAGGAGTTCATCGGCGTGAAACATTCAACAAGTTGTTGGAAACAGAACACACTTGATAAAAACAAAAAAACGAAGGCGAGGGAGATTTTGGCTGTGATCGGTTGCAAAGGTTCATCGGAGCAAATACTCAACAAGTTGTTGGAAACAAACACACACACACAAAAGAAAAACAAAAAAAAACAAAGGCGAGGAAACTATTGGCCGTGATCGTTTGCAAAGGTTCATCGGAGCGAGTATTCAACACGTTGTTGGAAACATAACACACGCAAACACACGAAAGAGGTGAGCGGCATGATAGCTGTGAGTGGTTCGTTGAAACCGTCAACACTTTATCTGACGCCAGTTGCTTCATGTCTCGCGCTTCTTCAGCACGGTTTCAAACGAAGGCATCAGCCTAGAAATATTGGCCTGAAGGGTCGCAAAAGATGTTGTTGACAAACCACCATCAGAACGAACGGATGCCAGAATGTGAGATCTCAAACCACACCGTGGTAGGTCTAACATTGGAACGTAAGCGACAGGTGGCCTTGATTTATGATACCTTCTCACTCTTAACCTTGCCATGGTGCTACGCAACGCGTCGGAGTGCGCCATGCGCAACAACCGCAGGTACACTTCTCTTCTATACTTCTAGCTAAAAAGTGACTCACCTCGTCATCAGAGGTAGTACAAGCATGGTTTTGGAGAAGGGGGATTTAGGATAGCTTGGCAGCGGACCCTCTGTCAAACCTTACATGTTGCCCCTACTGCGGTGTATAGCTGATGCCACCCACCGTCAAACATCAGAAAACACGAGGGAAAATGTTCACCGGAGGGCAGCCCCGTGGATTCGACACACACAGGCGGCCATGCCTACCTCTGCCTTTATCGCCGTGCACTCGTCCGAGTCGTACTTGGCCTGACACCACAGGTCCGGAGACCCGTGGGGGAACCCCGCCGGGGGCACCGCACATTGATCGCTAGCGGTCCCGTTCAAGCACAGCCGATCTCGCACGTTTGCCAGGGCAGGGTCGTCCCAGTGCTTGTCCAGCCAAACCTTGACCGGTCGCAGGAAGGGCGGGGTGGGATGTGAGACAGAAAAAAGGTGCAATAGTACGAAAACGAGGGGAAGGGGTGGGGGTCAGGATGGGACGTCAGGTGGGAGATGTCGCGGCGGGAGTGCACACCGTTCGGACGGACGCAAAGACACCACCCAGAAAGACAAAGACAACAGGAAAAAAAATCTTCTCGAATGAGCCAGAGTCATCCCGCACACGATTCAGAGCTTGACAGGCACGGTCCTGAACAGCAGTGTATGCATACATTGAAGGCAAGAACGGCAGGAGGAAGAGACGAAGAGGACTCTCCCTCCGTGTGAGGCCCCTGCTGCCCCTAAAGACGTAGGTACACTGGGGCCCAGCAAACACATGAGACACAAACCTAAAAGAACGACTTCCAGCAAAAGCCAAATCCCATCATACCGGACACGCGAGACCCACTACCTAACACAAGGCCAACACAAACACGAGGCAGACATCCCCGTACAAAGCAATAGTCCGATGCGGCGAGCCACACGGCACTCACTGCCCGACAACATCCAAAACACGCCTCGCGTACCCTAAAGTTGAAGTGGAAGTCCAAGGCTGCGATGCTCCACATGAACATCGACCCGATCACCAGGGACACCAGCCAGAAGTAAAACACCATCATGTGTAGGCTCACCTGCGGAAGTGCGGCGTCCGCCGCGCGGCGGGTGAATACATGGGACATACCGTAGGGTGAAAAAAACTATAGCGCGGAGCCCCTGACGGGGAAAAAAACGCCAGTCCTCCTCTGGTGCGGGAGAAACGGTACCCTGGACGCCAAGGATACCTCACTGTCTTCAACAGCGGCAAGTTTAAGATCAAGCTCTCGACACTGGACTCCGACAGGGGCAAAGACGCCAGGAAAAAACGAAGAGGGTCGAGATCCAACCCAACTCAGGGGGTGAAATCTCACCAATGGTTATTCTGAGTTCTGCACGCGCAGAAGTAGAAACTGAACGGGTGTGGAGTAAAGTCCGCTTGGGCGTACAGTAGTCATGAAGCCTTCTCCGCGGCTGTGGATGCTCCAAAAGGCGAACCTAGCCCCAAGACCGACCGCAACACAGCATCTCGACGCTAGGTTAGGCCACAACCAGCCAAGGAGTTCATCTACCAATCAACCATAGCGTATACCTTATCGGCAGCTACTATCCCTATTACCGCCACCACCGTCTGAAGTAGAGAAGAGGCAAGAGTGGTCACAGGAGGCACCAGCCCCGCCACACCAGCCAGCAGGAGATAACAGCAGACGCAGACATAGGCAGCAAACGGAAGGAAGTCAGGCCGTGCCACATTGGCTTTCCAGAACCGCGAAGAGATGGGTAACTATGGCACGAGGTTCGCGGTTCGCGGTTCACCGTTCATGGTGCATGATGTACGGGATCATGGTAGACATCACATGGTACGTTCAGTCTGGGAGTGTACCTTGCACCTGTACCTTCAGAATTAGCGTTTTGCGTGGGCAAAAAGGATTGGTATGTTCCCGCAAAATGCAAAAATAGTTGAGCCCTAGGTGGAAAGGAGCGAGCAACACATGCTGCACTTGCAGCAGAAACAAGCAAAGGCAACGAAAGGTTTTGGCGCTAACGCGTGATCGTGGCGACAGACACAGTGATTTTTGTCTTCAAGGCAACATATTTTCTGTGGCGACGAGCAGACTCGAGCGAGCACAGCCGCATGTGAAGCGAGACAGTTGTATACATGTAGCGAGGCCGTCAAACATTTTCGCACCTGAAAGCACCCCATGATGGCCAAAGCCACCGCGGTACTGTACACGGTGCTATCTGTTCCGTCCGTCTCTTCTTCCTCGTACCTATCATACACATCCGAAATGTGGACAACACATCAGACCGTAACACAATTCAAATTCTCAAGCTAATTATCACAAGCACCATGAACAAGTTCGAACCACCGCCTCATCGTCCTCCAACTAACAATCGCGGGACAATCGGATCGCAGACCTTCGGACTCCACAGACAAAAAATACCGTGGTATCATACGGCACCATGTCATCTGAGCATTATTTCAAACATACGAAATCGTATTCCTTCAAAGGCTATCGCAGCACCGTACCACCGTCACCACCTCATCAACCCAAGCCTACTTCTCGAAAAAAAAAAAGGCATGAAAAGGTATCACAAAGCTCTCAAAGCACAAAGAGCGGTACGCACCTGCACACCGCACGTTCGATCGCAAACACAGAAGGACAGCAGGTGTGTCATCAAAGTCAAAGAGGAGTGCGAGACCTCAAGACCACAATACCCCTTAACGGAGGAAGGTCGTGTATGCGGATGAAGGTCCAGCCTGCTGTTGCATGGCTACCCCTCGACTTTCCCGAAGGGTCTTGCGGCTGAGCTCGCCACCCAATCGCCTGACCGTCTCTGCATTAACGGTTACCTCCGACCTCCCTGCTTGGAAATCGAGTCGAACTCACCTAGTGAACAGCAGCAGCGACACAGCAGAAGCTGCCAAGACCACGCCAGAAGCCATGCTAAAGCTGGAGGTGCGCAGCAGCCCACGAGGTGAATCCCAAGAAAAAACAAGCGCAGTGGGGGGGTCCAGAATAATGGGGTGGTGGCTGATGGTGTTAATGTTTTTGTCCGGAGACAACAGATGAACGAAGCTCAGAAGATTCACTATTGTCACACCCGCAGTTGTCCCTGAAGCGGGGGGAGCCGAGTCTACGTGTGTGTTATCCGCCAGATGTGGTTTGGTTTAGCTTGCCAAACACCCTTGGTTATTTTTTCCCGTGGAGTGCTCACCTGTGTGCGCTCCGAAGAGAATATATTAGACGAGAGAGAGTGGATTTTGTGCTCCTGGCGAGACACGAAAGGAAGAGCGGTCGGTCGTTGCTGACAGGAAGATACTCGATTTTTTTCACCCCGCGCCTAGCGATGGAGCTCGCGTACTACTCAAGACAACAATCTTTGTAACCGTGTGCGTGCCTCGTCACCGCGCTTGTTGTTCCAGGGTGCGTTGCTGTTTCAGGTATT